GTGCTAACCACTGAGCCACCGTGTCACCTATTTATTTATTTGTTTGTTGGTTTTTTTGTTTGCTTTAACTTATTCCATGTAAAATAAATCAGGTTATTTTCCCCCTAGTCGTTTAAAAAAGCAAGCCCTACAACATTTTCATGATGATGATGATGATGATGATTATTATTATTATGGTTATTATATCAATAATAATAATAATTATTATTTATATTATTATTATTATTATTATTATTATTATTATTATTACTATTTTATTAAATATTTCTTCGTATTATTATTATTATTATGGTCACTTTATTTTAAGGTTAAATTTGCTATTAATAAATCATTAACTAAATCTTGTAGCTCAAACTACCAATTTGCTGCCTGGTAGTAGTTGGTTAGGTAGTAGTTGTGTTTAGGTATAGGGAATGCAAAAAAAAGATCATACTTAAGTACTAATAAATAGTCAATATCTTCGTAATAAGCTGGTTATAAGCCTGTAATTAATAGTGGAACTTGGTACTTGAAATGCTTTATGATAAAATTTGCTGAAAAATATTATATTTAAACATTAATTGTACCATTTTATTAAATGAAAAATAATAATCTTAACACTTTATTTATTATATTTAACTAATATTTAAATTCTAAAATAGGTTTTGTGGGGGGTTATCCTTTGCATTTTCTCTTCTCTTCCTCTAAAGAAAAGTCCACACACACACAATTGCTCAGATGGTAAAAGTTTGCCATTTTCAAGAAACAGCTATTTAACACATCAACTTCACCACCTTAACAAACCTTAACACTGGCTTTCATGTAAGTAACATATTCTTTAAACCAAAGCAGCACTTTAAACACACATTTATTTTAAAACCACTCACCCAAGGACCAGGTGCTGGTTTGTTGTTTTAATTATCATTTCTAGCCTTGAAATAAAAATCAATAAGTAGATTCCCTGAACCCTCATTATCCCGTTTCCAGTATTTCATAGTAAAATAAAAAAGCCACAATAGTAATATGAGGAATTTGAGCCTTGCTGCTCTGAAAACTCAAAGGTCAGGGAAATTAATTTTACTGACTGTGGAGGTGAGCAAAGGGAAAAAAAGGTGAAACCACAATAAAAACTCTGGCTATACAAAATATTTCAACAGCAGGTAATTCAGCATTTGCTGCTCCATACATGTTAATATCTATTTGATGCAAGAGGATTTGAAGACTGAGACCTGAAACTTCACCTTCTCGCAAACCTTAACCTCAAGCTTTTTTCACCAACTTCCAAATGTGACAAGCTCCTTTAAACAAATCTCTTTTTCCATGCATTTCAAAATGCCAATTTGTAGACATGCTTCAGATAATAAATAATCCAATAGAAATCACAGCAAAAAGTCCACTCGAGTGGCAATTAAAATCAGCTTCAAGATGGGCAATACAGCAGTTCTAAACCAAAAGAGTCTTTACACATAAAACATGCGCAGATTCAAAGCAAACAGCAGCCTAAAGCACTGCTTTGATGAGGATACACCTATCAATAAGAACATAATATGATCTACATCAGAGAGCTTCACAACCAGACTAAAAGCCTATAGCACTAACAAATACAAAGAAAGCGCTGTTAACAAAGGCATCTGAATAGGCCCTGAGCTATATAGATCACCATACCATTGCAAGCCAATGCAGGCGCATGCGTGACGTTATGTTGCTGTGGCTCAGGTAGCCAGAGAGGATTCTGGGTGTGAGAATGCGAGCGGTGGAACCCTCTGGATCCCTGCCACTCATCTGGCCACCTTCCTAAGCAGGGCAGAAAATCAAACAAGTAGGAAAGAATTAAATAAAAGCAAGAAGAAAAATGATTTCTTATAAATAGCAGGCTTCGCCAGAAGGCATAGGAAATGAGAGCAGCGAGGCGCAGGAGAGGAGCTTGAGCTTGACACGGGTCTTAAAATTGAGAGGGGGCGGAATCAGGGACCTATTGCGCAAAATGGCTCCAACCAAAGCAAGGATTAGTGTTCCTGCCTCCACAGCCAAGATTCTCCAGAACAACTAATCACCTTCAAGTTCTCGCGTTTTTTTTTTCTCCTCTTCACTGTCTCTCGCTCTCCTTCTCACTCCCTTTCTATCCTCTTTAAAGTATCATTTCACCCCTCACAGCCATTATGGCTAAAATTAAGCAGAGAGTGTTCTGCCAGCACCGATTAGACACATCCCTGGATCCACGCTGAGGAGAAGGTGTCATGTCAGTTACAGCTCTGAGAAGAAATGTGCTTCCCTGCGATCGTCTACAGACTGAGAAAGCGACTGTGCCACCCAGCGAAAGGCTTGTGGTGAGAATAGTAGTTACGATTCGGTTCAGGGGCTAAAATATCAGTCGGCAATTAGAAAAGAAAAGCAATGTCGTACAAAAGCCGTGGAACGTTTTGTGCGAACGTGCTAATAGACTTCAGCACAGTTTGAGTGTTAAACAACTCGAAATCAAGAAAAATAATATACTTTCAAGTGAGCTTAATTAAAGTTATCCTGCAATGAGAAAAAATGTACATGCGTTTACAGCTGTATGAATATTCTAGTAGCTTGAATTCATTGACTACAAAACAACGGTTTGCATATCAGTCAGAAGCATGCAGTGATCAATTAGCCTAATGCAAAGAAACAAACAAGCGCTTCTTTGTTGTTGCTTAAAAATACAAAATGCAGACATCAGCAAATCGCACATTCACACTTTAACCCAGTTCCAAGAAAAAGCTGAAGGAGAAACTGAAGTTTTTATAATTAGCTATCAGAGGGATGCGCACGAGAATGCGTGTTTACTTCATTTATAAACAGACGGAGTGTTTGTACACCTGTTTAACGTGACATTCTGCGAGAGATCTGCATCTCACAAGCACGGCTGCATCTACAAAGGGCAGCGATGATGTTGATAAAACAGTTATTTCGTAATCACCAATGATCTGGAGAACTGTGCCGCCATGGGAAGTTTAAATGAGGCTCAGATAAGTCACCTTCAACTTTAAGAGTTTTGTTTGACCTTTAGTTCTATAGTGTTTAAAAAAAAATAAGAAAAGCAAAGTCAAGAAAAGAAATGAAAAGAAACACAAAGGAAGAACGATAGCTCTATGATTTCTCTCCAGTTCTATTCGGAGGCAGATGAAATGGGTCCTGCATACTTGCAAATGACTGGGAAATATGCAAGTAATTTACCGTTAAATTCCATAACAGGAAAACCTAATTGTACAGCATGTCCAGCCTAATTGAATTGTTCGACAAGTGCATTACTGTTATGGAAATAATACTGACAGGAGTGATAAGAGATTGAACGCGAGACACCGAATGGGGAATAAAGCTATTAGGCTAAAATAGGAAAGAGAGAAAAAAAATGTAATCCCACACAGAAAGTCATTTGGTGAAACGTGTAAAACAAGAAGAAAAACTAAAATAAATAAAATGTTTGAAATTATAATACTAATAGTAGTAATAATTTTAATAATGATTACAACTAAACTACAATAAAAAAAAAAATCAATAATTTAACTAAATAAGACTATATAAACTAAGATCTTAATTAGACGCAATTATGTGTTACAATACAAAACACAACCTCTTTATTTTTACCACAAAATGGATCAACTTTACATTTAAAACAAATGCTATGTTTGTAATGTAAATAAAGCCCTAAATAGCATGCTCAATTGTCTAAAACCATGTAACAGCTTCATGCACCCACAAAAAAAAAAAGCCCTTTTGCGTGACCGGACTGGAAAGACCACCCTCTGCTGGTCAGAGAATAAAGTGCAGTTGACCCTTATCCACTTCAATGCAGAGGCCTGTCAACTAACAAAAGAAGCAGCTTGTTTTGAACCAATACACAAAGCATTGAACCAGTCAAATTCATAGAAACGCATATCCGTATGTCATATAACACATCTAAAGAAAATCTAAGTGTATTGCAGCCATCCAACAATTTCTGTGAACTGTACACAACCAAAAAGTAACCAGCAACATAAATGTATGCATTTATAAGGTTATAATACAAAAATGATGTCCTTTATTCTTTCAAAGTGAATTTTTAAGTTGAAAGCAGCAATCTTATAATAACTGCGAATATTAGCTTTCGTTTGATTGATGCAAAGCACACACGCAGTTATATTGAAAAGCTCATGATTGATAACGACGAATCTGCAATGTGATATCACCAGCATTTCCAAGAACGTCTGCATTCAAGTTACACTGACTAAATAATAACAGAAAAAAAAATCTCATTAAATCACATCACCCTTAAACACAGTAACAGCCTAATATATAATGAACTTCATGATCTCAGGCTAGGGTATCATTTGACAGCAGGTTGTTTCAGCAATGATAGGTTAATGCAATTTCTCTTTTGTTTTCATTCAGTCATCACGAAGGAGATGTCCTTCCACGATGACACACCGATGGTGAGCAACTTCATTTCAGCCCCAGAATATCTCACGCATGTGACAACATCTTCCTTTGTTGCCAAGAGTGTTGAACTGCTTTGAACTGCAGACTGACAGAATAGGGAAACCATTCCAAACGCAAATGTAAATTATTGTTAGTTACACGTTTAACCCTCTAGCCACTGCACAGTTCTAGCATGTGGAGGAATTTTGAAATCATGTTGCCCTCTTTTGGCTGGCATGTGCGACTGCAGATTCTTTCCTGACAATTATGACTGCTTGAGAATGGAAAGATATTAAAGAAGCATAGTGGTGTAATATGATGATGAAAAATGTCGAATATGAATGTGAAATATTTGACTCAGATATGACGACGTTACAAATATTAAAGGGTATAACCTTGCAGTTTCTCTACCCAATATGGTACAGAAATACAAAAGATGAAAAAATGCAATTGTTCATAGCCTGTAAAACAAAGTCAGCGATAAAACCTGTCCTCGCCACACTAGGCCAAAGTACCCCGTTAAGTTCTGTTAACATCTACACATTTCCAGCGCATTTTCTCCTGTGCTTTTGGTTGCAACAGCCTCATTTCATACTCACTCGCTTCCTCCGCCTTCTCTCTCACTCCCTCACTCCTCCTCAGACCTGCGGGTCACTCCAGTAGGAACAGGAAGTATCCTTCCTCCTTTCCAGAGCTCACCTCTCCGTCAGTTTCCCCAGCGTTCATCCAGTCTTTGATTTCCCACTCGTCTGCAAAGATAAGAAACAAACCCCAGCAATGGGAACTTTCAGTGAATATCCTTTTCAGCCTCCACACCTACTATCTGTTTTGCTTTCTCTTTTTTTGCCTCCCTCGTTCATCTCCGAGCTTGGGGAAAGCGACGAGGTGGGTAGTTGATTCAGTAATATTCTGAACGGTTGATCTAAATAAAGATGCTCTTCAAATTCCATTGTATGTCTAATGGTCTATCACAGAGGGAGGATTACTGATGTGATTTAAACAATGCTGAGTGGAAAGGAGGAGCAGAATAAAAAAGGACTTTTGTGGTGACAGATGCACTATCGAGAATTTCGGTGGCTCATATTTCAAGCTGGTGAAATAGAGTCATTTAAACGGCCTGTACTGCCCAATATATAGCAGTAAATAAACGATAAGAGGTTGGCGATAAGCAAGCAGCCCCACACTCTCTCCTTGCAGCGGAATCAATACAGCCTGCGCAGCAAATCATTCATCTCATAAGTATAATGAATACTTGTGTTATTAATCTCATCTTTATACTGGGGTAATATGATAGTTAATTCAGCTCAGCTGAAATGAACGAAAATAAGTTAATCACAAATGCATTGCTTATGAAAATCAATTCTGGCGAGATATTCTAATAGCAATACATACAGGCAATGAGCGCTAATTTCATCATGCACAGAAACCAATACTTCACTCCGTTCATCTGACTAACGCATAAATGGAATATTTCACACTCTTTTCGTCAGTGAAAACAATATAGATTTTGATTTGCTTGCGAACAATTTTAATAAAAAGCTATTGATGGGATATTGATTGGTTAGCTCACGGCACAGCTCGTGGCCCCAGTGTGCAACAATCATTATGCGCCAAGCTTTTGGGTTCATTTCAGCTCATATGGTCAATAAAGACTCCATATGCTTTCGGCCCTTTGAACATGTCAGGACGCGTCCTCTAAATCAAATTCAACTGTTAGGAAGAGCCAGAAGAGCTGCTCAAATTTAGAATAGTTCCAATATCCTGACTGACCATGAATCTAGAAACATGCTGGACAAATTCATACTACCAATCAGAAATAATATCGGAATCAAAGGCTCATATTTTACTGGTGACAGAGTATAATACTTAGCAGGCTACATAAGTAAATTAAATTTAAAACAGGCCAGAGTTGTTTGGCTGTTTAAGCTTACATTTTCCAGGAATCATTTTATGCTGTACTTTTAAAACTTGTGGCATCCCTCAAGGCCCTCTAAGTGGTTCTTAGACTTCTCTCCAGTCTGTACCTTCCTTTAAGAATGTGATCTTTGCACTCCGAGATCTTATTTATCCCTGTGTCACTTTGTAAAATCTTTATTCGTGTGAACATATCTTTTAAATGTGAGAGTCACTGAAGTAACGGCAATAAAAGCCTGGAGTGGGATCAATGCTGAACGCATTACGCCTCGGCACAGAGACTTGGGTTTAATAATCAAAAAATTGATCCATTAAGCTCAACCTAATTCTTTGCCAAAACGGTAGAGGTGCTCAGTTTTCAACACATGGTTATGTGAGGAATTGCAATTTTTCACAGAGACTCTGGTCTAATGTCACAATATTGAAGATGAAATGAAATGGAATCATTACTAATGTATAGACAGACAGACAGACAGACAGACAGACAGACATAGACAGGATGGAAGGACACTCAGACAGACATACAGACAATTTTGCGATTTTAAGGCCTAGGAATGTGTAAGAGTTAATGAGCAAAAATTACAAAGTTTGTACTCTGTAAAACCTAACAGCCAACTTTATCAAGTGAAACGAGTGTAGTTAATTCTACTTAATTGAAAAGAGTTTTGAACTCAGTGTTGAAGGTAATGAATTAATTAAATACCCTATTACTTCAACTTAAATAGAGTAAAGCAGGACGCACACCAGAAGCGCCACTCGGCGGCGCGCCGCGCAGCACCACGCAGCGCCATGTATTTTAGAATTCTAAACATAGGTTTCTATCAGGATACACACACCGGCGCCGCAAGTAGGCAGCTGTCGGCGGCGCCCGGCGACGGCTCAGGACGCAGTTCATTTTTCAGCCGCGCCACAGAGCGCCATCTGATTAGTTTCATGTTAAATATCATTTGAATGTGCGCGTCTGGTGTGTGATACTTTAAACTGTCATGTACGCGCCGTGTCGCGGCGCCGAGCGGCGCTTCTGGTGTGCGACCTGCTTAAGTTCACAGTGCTCATATAGATTAGTTTATTAACTCAAATGGATTGTAGCAATCGGTTTCCTCAAACGGTTTGAGTTGCCTTAACTTATTGGGTTTTACAGTGCTCAATTGGTATGATTTTAATTCATTTATTGGAATTTAATGTGCTAAAATTGCTTCATTTACTCGAATGGATTAAGTACACAGTACTCATTAGGATTAGTTTATGAACTTTATTGGTTTGTTGCAATCGGTTTCCTCAAATGGTCCGAGTTACCTTAACTTGTTAAGTTTTACAGTGTAGCTTTAACAGAGATTAAATTAATTAATTAAATGAAGACTACAGAGTGTTATTTTACTTTCAGTTACTGAATTTATGTATTGCAGTTCTGCAAGACTCGCACAGAAAAACAGAAAAAACACTTTCTGCTTGTAACTCTTCTTTTGTATTCAGCTATGCTTGTAATTTATATTTTATTCATATGCACTCACCCACAAATCCTCACAATCAATGTAAAATTAAAAATTGTTTACATATAGAGTTAAGGTACAGGCTAATATGGTACAGCCTCATTCATACACATTCACTAGCTAATTTAGCTTTTTCAATTCACCTATAGCACATGTCTTTGGACTGTGGGGGGAATCAGGGCACCTGGAGGAAATCCATGCGGACATGGGAGAACACGCAAACTCCACACAGAAATGCCAACTGACCCAGATTAGGCTTGAAGCAGCAACCTTCTTGTCGTGAGGTGACAGCACTACCCACTGTGCCACCGCGTCACGTTTAAAGGTATATTATAAACTAAATACATATTACCTAAATGGTACCCTACATATTTTTATCTTTCGAAAAGCTTCTTTGTAGAAGTAATCACTTTTTTAATCCTTTTTTCAGAGTGTTTAATGACCTTGAAGGATATATATTTACTGCAAAGTAACATTTGATCTCCAACTGCTAGGAGTCACATCATTGGTGTGAAGAAAAAAAATATTGTAGCTTTATTTATTTATTTTTTTTCTCTTCTAGCATTCACTGAACCCACTGTTTTTCACACAAATATCAAAGTTCATTGAATGTTCCCAGATCAAAGCTAAGACTAAGGATTCCACATTTGACACTATATGACTTTCCAAAAAAGACATGAAAATATATCAATGCCACTCTGATGAACTGGAGCATGAGTTCACTCCAGCATGTCGGAGCCAACAGCAAAGTTTAAGAGAGCAGATAATGAGGGGGAAGTGGATAAAAAAAAAAGAGCACAAAGGGGGTAAACAACCAAAACCCTCTAAAACAAGAACCGTGGCAGAGTCATTTGGGCTGCGGTAGATGTGGGGGTAGAGAATCACAGCACAGAGACACTTCCTCTGTGCCGCGTCCCTGAGCTGCCACTGCAACTCAACACCAGCGCTATATCGATCGGCTTCATAAGCCTCCACCAACCTGGTCAAACCCGAGTCCTTTCTGATATTTACCCAGCAAAGTATTCCCTTCTGCTAGCGCTGCCAACCCACAAGACATAGAGGGCGAAAAAAAAAGTCAATTATATACAACGTGCTTGGTTTCCCCTCAAGGATGGAATCCACCCTTTCTAATCCGATCAATTCATGTCAGACAGGAGGCTGGATTCAGTGCTATCTCTGAAGTCCTGTAATCCAGGCTAAGTCTTCACACTGCCTGCCTCACCTCCACAAGAAAAGGGTTTGGTCCAGAGCGTGATACAGCAAATTAGCCGTGGTGTACATTCTGAAACACTGCACTGAATAGATGCCAGTGTGCTAACAGATAAGTATAATTGGATAAGCAATTCAGCTGATTTCTACTATTATCAATATTAAAGAACACAAAAGCTTGTCACACTTTTTTTATTTAGATTTAAACATTTTATTATAAATATATGCATTTAGGTAATTTTCTATCATTGCAACTTTGCAAAAAACTGCCCTGTTTTGTTTTGTTTTGATTTATTTATTTCGAACAGAAAAATCATACATAAAAAGTCTAACAAAAAATAAATTTCTACATGGTCGAAATGGAGCGGGATAAAGCACAAGCTTATTTTCCCACCCCATTACACACATCATTCGTCTATTATTTTATTTCTTCATTTACTTATCTATTCCTTTTACATGAGACATGAGCTTGACATGAGACATATTTTACCCTTTTGGCATCTTTGACATATATTTTATTCCATTTGTACATTTACATTTTAGAAAATAGACCCAAAAAATACATAGTATTGCAAACAGCCATTATTTGAAATTTCATCATCTTTCTCATTTTATTATTTTTTTTTAATTACCTCTATTCATTATTATACTCTTTTAATAATACATATTCATACAACTTTTAAAACTGATTAACATCCTGACATTGTTTGAGAATCTGTTCTAGACTGTTCCATGATTTCACACCACATACAGACATGGACAAACTTTTTAAAGTTGTCCTTGTTTTCACCTTCCTAAAATTTTGTTCTTCTCTAAAATTATATTCCCCTTGTCATTCTTCAAAAAACTTTTGTATGCATTTCGGAATAATTTATTCCTAGCTTTAAACATAAATTGTGCTGTTTTAAATTTAACCAAATCATTGCACTTAAGTATCTTCAATTTAAAAAAAATAATAATAATTATGTCTTACAAAAAAAGCATGTCTTATAAAAAAAAAAGTAAAACTCCTTACTGAAAGTATTTTGGTAAAGTTCTGATGGTAAGTTCAGTATCCTTACATAATACTTTAGTTTATCTAAGTTAGTCATTCTCTCACCTGCATGCACGTGTGTGCGTGTGTGTGTGTGTGTGTG